GCATTTGGTGCAAAAATCAGTCTTCTCTTTTGTTTTCCTTGTGGGGCCCACAAGCCAGAATGTGCCAATTCAGATGCTACAGCTTGTGTAATTGTGTTTGATATAAGCAAGGTATATATTAGATCAGTACGTTTAGTTTGTGTTGTGTGTGTATGTTATGTTTTCACGGTTTTGCTATGAAGCTAACAGTTGGCTTCATAGTGGAGCAAAGGAATCGACCCGGATAGGTCTTCCGGTCACCGAATCACTGGTTCAGCCGCTGGGTCAATGTCTCAATTGCTGATCATGATAATTAATTTAAAAAATTATGAAATTATATATATAGTATTTTTATCATGTTAAATATGCACAAAAGTAACAAAAATAAATGTTATGAATATATATTTTGTTCATCAAAGTGTTAGTAATATTGTATCCCATAATAAATATTCACCTTATTAATATATCTATGTATATAGAGTTATTATTTTTAAAATAATAAATAATTTTTATTACAAAATATAGTGATCGTCAAGCTGGGTTGACCTACCAGGTTGATGCCCATGTTGAGCGGGTTAGGGTTAATCGGGTTCGACCTGGTCTGTTGTCGGTTGGTCCGAAGCACCCACCCAGACCGATCATGCTTTGATTCCCATGTTGACCCACGAAGCCGATCTGATTTGAAAAACTATGGTTGAAAGTATGCTTGTGTGTTCAAAATATTTGTCAAACCACTATGTCTGTCTAATAGACAGAGACACGGTAAACGAATTATAATTTTTTATTAGTTTATACATAAATTTTCACACGCAAGTGACATACTTGAAAATTTGAATAATAACATAAACAAAAATACATATCTTATAATATAATTAAGTATATTTGTTGGAAAAGTACTCACTTAATTGCACGTATAAAAATTTATATTTATTCAAAAGATATGATAGATTAATTCGCATAGTCATTGGATGCCTCACCGCATCATTTGTTTAATTAATCATAAGAAACTCGTTTGAAGTATAAAATCTATCGTTTAACAAAAAAAAAAAAAAAAAAAAAAAA